CTGTAATTTACCTTTTAACATAACTTAAAAAATGCCTTTTATATTTCCCAGTGTATTCATTTCTCCTGGTATTTTTATTCCTTTTTGAAATCCAAAATTCCTAACCCATCTATAGCCTACTAATACCTCTACCTGCCTTTAAAAAAAAATTATTGTAGTGCAGTTCTGCTTGAATGAAATCTCTCACTGGGGGAATTCTTTCTTGGCTGGGGAGTAGTGGTAAAACACCCCAGTGGGTATATTTTGTAATATATATGCTTCCTAGATCATTCTGATAAATATTTTCCTGCAAAAGTGTGTTAAAAGCTGGGAAGTGTTATGGATTCCCATATAAAAATATTTTTCCCAGCCAGGTTCTGTGACACATGCCTCAACTCTGGAGGCCAAGGCAGGAGGATTGCAAGTTCAAAGTCAACCTCAGCAAGTTAGTGAGGCCCTAACCAACTTAGTGAGACCCTGTATTAAAAAATTTATGTGTGTGTATATGTGTGTGTGTGTGTGTGTGTGTGTGTGTGTGTGTGTATTCCTCACAGTTGGGCACAGTGGTGTGTACCTGTAGTCTCAGCTGTCCAGGAGGCTGAGGCAGGAAGGTCAGCTTGAATTATATAACAAGACCCTATCTCAAAAAATTTTCCACAGTGTTCTTTTCAGATGATGTAATAAACTTACACTTGGTGATGCCACACAATGGAATATTATATATGCAGTCACTAAAATGATCTTTCTAAAAAACAGTTAATAACATTGGAAGTGTTTACAACTTAATTATAATTTTAAAAAATCTCTTATGGGAAGAAATACACTAAAATATTAAAGGCTAGTATCTCTAGCTATGAAGTTTGCTGATGATTTTCTTTTTACATATTTTATTCTGTACTTTTCAAGTTGTCTCAAAGTGAATAAACTTATAGATGCTTCTTAGTGCACATGTGCAAGTATTTCTCCAAGGTACTTACCAAAAAGGGGGAATCAAACTATGCATATTGTATATCTTAATAATCACTAACAAATTGTCCTCAAAAAAGCTTTTATTAATTATGCTATCATTAAAGGATGAGTTTTCCCAATCCTTGCCGACACTTACTATGATAAGTTATTAAATTTTTGCTAATTTTAAGAGAAAAAATTATTTTAATCTATACCTCCCTATTTACTGAATTTCAACATTTTTCATGCGTATCTCTGTCATTTGCATTTCCTCACTTCTCAATTGTTTTTTTTTCATGCCTCTTTTTTTTCTATATGATTTTTTCTTAGTGATTTATGGTGTTATTTTTATATTTTGGATATAGCTTTTCAGAATATGGGCTCCAAAATTTTTCTGCCAGCTTGTACCAGCTTGCCACTTGTGTTTTATTGAACAGAGTTCTCAATTTTGATATCATCATATTTTTCTTAGTTTCGTATTGGTTTGTTTTGGTACTAGAAATTGATGTTCTACTACTGAACTTCATCCCCATTTTTTTTTTTTTTTTGTACTTTGAGACAGAGTCTCACTGAGTTGCTCAGGCTGGCCTTGAATTTGCACTCCTCCTATGTCAGCTCTGAAGTAGCTGGGATTGTAGGTAGGTGGCTGCCACACCCAGCTCAAATATTTTTCTTTATGGCCCTATGCTTTGAAGCTCTATCCTATCCCATAGCCTATGTTTAAAAAAATTTTTTTAGCTTTTTAAAAATGTTCAGCTCTTTAATCCATTTGGAAATTAATTTGTAAATGGTGTGAGGTTGATACTGATCAAATTTGTTTTTCAAGTGAATAATTATTTATTATCTTGCTTTATAGACTTGAAATGCTATTTTTCTAATATATGATATTCTCTTACAGTCACATGGTTCTGTTTCTGTTCCCTATCTCATCATCTCAACATAGTAAAAATTTATTTCTGGATTTATTTATTTATTGGTGCCAGTGTCGCTTAACCACTGAGCCACATCCCCTGCCCTTTCTTGTTTTTATTTTGACACGGGGTCTCACTAAGTTGCTTAGGGCCTAGCTAAATTTCTGAGGCTGACTTTGAACTTGTGAGTCTCCTGCCTCAGCTTCTCAGGCTCTTGGGATTACAGGCATGTGCCACCATACTTGGCTTGTTCAGGGTATTTTAGACGTCTTAAATCAAAGTTGTTACTGACTTTTGTTGCTAGCTAGTTACCAGTGGCAGGGACCACATAAAAATCAAATGTGAATGCATGGAAAATAAAAACATCAAAATGAACAAAAACTTGAGCGAATAAAGACCATGATGAGAGAGAATAAAATACTTGTGTTTTTATGCATCCAAAAGTCATATATCAAGCCTCTGCATTCACTATATCATCTAGTGCATTCACTATATCCTTTGGGTTGTTTCTGCTACCTCTACTCTTTCACATGATGCTTTATATGGATGATAGAGAAGTTTCTTTACATGATAATTGAAATAATAGAAAGGAAAAATACTATTAGGGATTATAATAATGAATAACAGAAAAGTATCATATTACTTGGAGGCTGGTAAGCATTAAAAAGAAAACTGAACAAATAAGTGTTTAAAGTAAAAAATCACAATACACAGTATAACCTTTAAATCTAACCAATGTACACAATATGATTTACTCAAAATTGTATCTTTTTCATAGTAAAGCTAACATTACACAAGTAGGAACAGCTGTCATGTGGGCAAATGTGGTTTTAAGTCAACAGTTAATTCAATTATTTACGATAAATTTAGGTGTTCCTGGTTGAAAAGTCATGTTGATGGGGCATGGTGATTGTTAAGGGACTTGTGTTTAATGCAGTGTGACCAAAGTTTCAGGGCTCAGTAAACAGGAATAGGCAATAAAATCTTTTAATAACCACTTACACAGAAACATCCTATTTTTTTTTAATGGAGGCAAAAAGTGAACATTGTGATTAACTGATCTCCTTTTAACTCACCAGTTTATAATTAGTTGCCTTATATTATAAGCTGACTTTTTTCCATTAAAGCAACAATTGAGCAAGTTCTAAGAAGCAGCTTCAAGAAGTACAACAAGTGTACTTGACAGTCATTTCTTCCATTGCTTATATTAGGTTATGATTAGGGATAACCATTAACTACATAAAAGACTTACCATTAGCATATCAAATGAAAGATTTAGTTTCTAAAATGGTAACTCACATATTTTTGTACTCTGGTTGTCTCTACTGAATTTGCATTGTAAAATGTCCATAACCAGCATATTCATGAAAGCTACCAACAACCATTGTTTTAAAACAAACTTTTTTTGTAAACCAAAAAGAAAAAAAAATAGCAGAACATTTTTTATATACTTTGCTGAATAATATGAATTGTACAGCAACAATCCTCCGAGTGGAGATCATCTAGATAAATTGTGCTAACGAATTTTCTATCTAGTTGCTTCGAAACTACTTTCTCAGCGTGGTCCGCAGCTACCTGTGCGTTTCTGAGCTCGCTCCATAGCGGGCGCTGACGAGAAGCTGCAGCGCATCCACGCTCTGATGCGGTTGCGTACGTTTAAGCGCTTCCCGCTCTTACCGGCTGGGCTAAAACTTCAACTGCCATCAGGCTCACAAGTCTGGTTTTCTACTCTGTCTGGTGCCCCCTGGTGCTCAGCACCTGCACAACCTTGGGTAGTTGCAAGGAGCAAAGGGGTCCAAGGAGTGCAAGGATGCTTTGAGGAAAAGCATTCCATTTACTGTGAACCGTATGGATCCAGATTTCCTGAGTCCATTGCCTTGGCATAAATTACATATGTACATTCGTGCAGCTCGAGAGGGGGTGGATAGATAGATAGATAGATAGATATACCAAGTCCCTAAGTAAAAGAAAGCTGAAAAATAAGTTTCAACCAACTACAGAGGCAGAAGTCAACTCAGCCCTTTCAAGTTTGTAGACCAGACACGAAGATACATGGACTTTTATCTTCTTCGAACCCATCTCCCCGCCCCCGCACCGGTCCCGTTCATTCTTTTTCAGGAAAGCAGAGTTCACTATGATCCTGGATCATAAGAGAGCCCATCTGAATATCCGTTTGGGGGCTGGAGCTGAGAAAGTGGTCTTAATTGCTGTGGAGGAGAGAGGATGGAAGATAATTCTTCCTGTCTTCTTCCCTAATTAATTTACTTAATATTAATCTCATGTGTAACCTTCGGAAAGTTTTCTATGGGTCGTTGACCCCTCTTCTCCACTAGCTCAGGCTCTAGTTATCCTCCTTTGCCCTTCCCCTCCACCCCTCCACCCCTGGTCACTCAACACTACTGAGTCTCTTTCCATTAAAGATGAACAACAGATAATTTTTCATTGCATGGAAAGCCTAAAAGCTCTCTTATATCAGAGAATGATGGGAGCCTCTCCCCTTGTTCTCCATCCCTCTTCTTTATTCTTCTTCCCTTCTTTTAACAGTTTGTTCCTAAATAATGCTTTTCCTAGTAAACGCTGACTTTAGGATAGGGTTGTGACGACCCACGATGACTCTCCCGTCAGGCTTCCAGAAGAGGCGGTTTCCAAAGAAAACTACAACTCCCAGGAGCCATCAGGCTAAAGCAGCCGCAGGGTATTACGGAAGTCGTAGGCGCCTTTTGCCTCAGTCTCTCTGGCGTCTCCCGCTTGCAACTACACGTCCCAGGGCGCCTCAGGACTGGAACGCCTGCGCGAGAGCCCTGGGCACGGTGGGGGTGGGGCCGCCCCGGGCGGCGGGGGGCGGGGTCCGAGCGGGTTGTGTGGAGGCTTCAGACTCCGGCGCCATTTAGCGCGGAGAGTTTCCCGGGCGGACGCTGCTGTTCTTCTTCGGCCACTCGTACCCCCATCTTCGGTGACAGAGGCGCCTGTTGGGGGTGACTGTTCTTTTCTCTTCCTATCCCCTTCTCCCAGTCTTCTCGGTCTCCTCTACTCTTGGCCCAGAGAAGCAGCGGAGCTCGGGCCCGCGGTGAGCGGCCCTCCCCTCCCCACCGTTCCCTCCCTCCGTCAGCCCCCGGCACCGGCCCGGGAGGGGACGAGGGTTTGCCAGGCCCGGGGCAGGCGCCGAGGCTTCGAAGCTTCGGCTCCCGGCATCTGGGCGATGGGCTCTCTGTGAGACTGGTCCCCTCGCTGGGGGCGCGTGCGGCAGGAGGCGGCTGCTGAGTGACCGGAGCCCGGGCCGCGGCCCTCCCTCGCCCTGCTCGGCCCCTCCCACCCCTGTGCCCTGGGGCTGCCACCGCCCGGGTGTCTGAGCTCGTCCCTTCCGCGCGGTGCCGCCGCCCTCAGGGCCTAGCCCGCCCTGCTCGGCGAGCGGCGGGACCTGAGCGGTTGTCGCATCCGCAGCATCCGCTTCGCCTCACTTCACCTCACCTCGCCTCGCCTGGGTGCCTGCTCCCCTCGCCCTGCCCCTCATGACTGCGGCGCCTCTGCTGCCACAGCCCTGCCGGCCGCCGCGCGCCGCAGGATGGATGCGGACCGTGCGGCGCTAACCCCCGTGGCTCTGCTCCTGAATCTCCCGCCGACGAGCCAGCCTCGTGAGCCGCAGCAGCTTCGGTGCCAGCAGCAGCCGCCGCAGCTGGGCCCAGAGTCCCGTGTCGCCTTCGGGGCTCCTTGTCAGTGTTGAGTGGGGAGTCGTCCGGTCCGGGTCGCTCCGAACCCGCTGTAGGAGCGGTGCCCTGCAGACCTTCGCGGCTCCTGCGGGTGGGCCCTTCTTCCTCTTTTCATTCTCCTATCCGGCCGGCTTGCCTCACCCAGCGGACCAACCATGTCTGGCGGCGCCGCAGAGAAGCAGAGCAGCACTCCGAGCTCTCTGTTTCTCTCGCCGCCGACGCCAGCCCCCAAGAATGGCTCCAGCTCTGATTCCTCTGTGGGCGAGAAACTGGGGGCCGCGGCGACCGATGCTGGAACTGGTAGGACCGAGGAGTACCGGCGCCGCCGCCACACTATGGACAAGGACAGCCGTGGGGCGGCCGCCACCACTACCACTACCGAGCACCGCTTCTTCCGACGGAGCGTCATCTGCGACTCTAATGCTACTGCGTTGGAGCTGCCTGGCCTCCCTTTCTCGATTCCCCAGCCCGGCGTCCCCGCGGTTGCTCCACAGATTGCTCCATCAGAGCCCCACCGGGAGGAGACCTTGACTGCTACCGCCGTTTCCCAGGTGGCCCAGCAGCCCCCAGTCACTGCTGCCCCTGGAGAACAAGCTGTCGCGGGCCCTGTCACCTCGACTGCCCCAAGCAGTACCAGCAAAGACCGCCCAGTTTCCCAGCCCAACCTCGTGGGGAGCAAAGAGGAGCCACCACCGGCGAGAAGTGGAAGTGGTAGCGGTGGTAGCAGCGCCAAGGAGCTGCAGGAAGAACAGAGACAGCTACAGGATGATATCGAAGAGCTGGAGACCAAGGCCGTGGGAATGTCCAATGACGGCCGCTTTCTCAAGTTTGACATCGAAATCGGCAGAGGCTCCTTTAAGACAGTCTACAAAGGTCTGGACACTGAAACCACTGTGGAAGTCGCCTGGTGTGAACTGCAGGTAAAGCCCCACCTACTTCTTTATTTTTACGGCCCTTGGATCCCAAACTTGGCTCTGTTCAGCCAGTTTATCGAGTTCACCCTTTACGTGTAATTCTGTTTGAGTGGAGAGGTGAGGCCAACTTTGGAAAGGAGTTGAAATTGGGAGAATGTGAAGCATGGACCTAGGTGTTTAAAAAGGTAAAAATTTTTGATATAGGAATTTGTTAATAGACAGGAGGTGAAAGTCAGTATAAATATATGATTTCCTTGTTATTGATTAACTGTCTGGCTGGAAACTTGGAATTAATAGGGAAGTTTTTGAATTAGGAAAGTACCGAGTCCTTCTTGCCCTGTGCATTTCAGTTTCATCAGAGCCTCTGTAGGGATGACCTGCTCTTGTGTTTGAAGTCCTTATGTTAGAGGTGGTGTTTTCATTCCTGAGACCAGGTTGTTTTTTAAGAATAAAAGGGACCTTGTTCCTTTGAATATATCTTACTTGTTGGCTTCACAGGCATTTAGTAAAAAGTAATTGTGAAGACTGTCTTTGCTCCTTTGGAATTTATGCTCTGGGACTATTAAGATATAGTTATGTTTTTGCTATTGCTCCACCTAATACTCTTTAAGACATGGTAGCTGGCAGTAATCTGAATGTTGATTAAAAAGAATGACTTTAATTCATTTACTCTACAACAGCCATGCAAAATTGTGTTAGTGCTTTGAGAATTGTAATGTTATCATCGCCTTAATCTTATTATAAAAGATTTTTAAGCTAAACTTTTCCAAGAATTCAAAGGAATTACTAATGCTTCCCTTTTTTTAATACCCTAGGGAGGTTTTCCTTTTAAATAATGACATGTCATTCTGATGGACAAGTGTATTCTAGGTTTAAACACTGGGTTGCTTGTTGCTTGACATTTGTAACACCTTGCTTTGACTGTTGCGCTCACAGGGGAGTGAACTATTGATAGAAGCAGAATTTCACTGAAGGAAAAGTTATAATCTACAGTATACATGAAAAATGCCATTTCCCATATTCTTCTTGCCAAGACAGTGGACCAAGCTGAAATAGGATAGGAAAGTACCTGCATGATCTTGAAACTTCATGTTAATACTTAATCTTTTGAATGTCAGTTTCCAACTGACCAAGGCCATATCAAGCGTGAAAGAAAGTTAACACAGCATATGGAAGTAAACTTAAAAACTGACAAGTTCTTTAAGACCATAGTAATTTCTTTCTTTCTTTCTTTCTTTCTTTCTTTTTTTTTTTTTTGTAGTACTAGGTATTGAACTCAGTGGCACTTACCACTGAATCACATCCCCAGTCCTTTTTTTTTTTTTTAGTTTTTATTTAGAGACAGGGTCTCATTAAGTTTCTTAGGGTCTCAATAAGTTGCTGAGGGTAGCTTTGAACTTAAATTCTCCTGCCTCAGCCTCCCAAACCATGGGGATTACAGACGTGCATCATAATTTCTTAAATTATGTATTTGATATGGAATTTCTAAGCATTGTGAAGTAAAAACTACTTATTAATTTTATAGTGGTTTAGAGTTTGAAAGGTAACAGACTTTTTTTTTTTTTTTTTGGCCACGGGGATTGAACTGGGGGGTACTCAACCACCAAGCCACATCCCCAGCCCTATTTTGTATTTTATTTAGAGACAGGATCTCACTGAGTTGCTTAGCAACTTACCACTGTTGAGGCTGGCTTGGAACTCTTGATCATTCTGTCTCAGCCTCCAAAGCCACTGGGATTATAGGCATGTGCTACCACTCCTGGCTGTGCCACCTTGCCTGGCAATAGGTAGACTATTTTCTAGAAGAAGCCTGTCAAACTATACTCCTATAGTTAGTCAGACTCAAAAACTTAGGTCTGATTTCTTTTGGTGTTCAGGTAAAAATTTATAGGACGACATCTGTTTCTTTTTTGTACCAAGGATGCTAATCATCTGGGAATTTGTTCTGTTATAATTTCATATTTCAATAGATAATTTTTAGTGATTTTTGTTTCCTGTTTTAAAAGATTGGACCCAGTGAAATGTTGGGCATGTTATGGATTAATTTTGTTAATTTCAATTATTTCACTTTTAAGCCTTCTGCACAATGTGTATTTTCGCTTTATCATCTGGAATTTTCTGATAGTTTATTGTCTTAGAACTAATAATACAGGGCAGAAAAAATCGCAATTGACTGATGTCACAATGAGAACTGTCTAAGTGTCTCAGTTTTTCTAAGGACTCAAAACTTTTTGGATTTTTTAGTTTTTTATCTAGGCAGGGCATGATCAACCTAAGGAAAATCTTACATAATAATTTTAAGCCAGTTTAGGATTTGGCTGCAGAACCAAATGCATCCTAGCTCATTGAGTGGTACCTTGGTTTAGAAACTTCCATGTCATTTTGCCCGTGCTTTTACAATTTTTCATTTTGTGCTACATGATTTATCGTAGCCCAGAAATTCTTTATAACAGTAGTTGGGCAGTATTTTTATTTTTCTTGACCAGGATACTTGCAGTACATTCCTAATAAAGTATCAGCAGATCAGTGTTTGAGTTTTTGACTTTGGGTCTGAATTAAAGGACAAGCCAAAAGATTACTAAAGCATTGGGAAGAAAGGAAAGCTTTTCACTAAATGTATACTTTTAACATGTTTATTTTTCCATAGCAAGACAGGAAAAATATTGTGTTCAGTTGTTAAATTAAAAATCTTAATTTTTAACTGGGAGAGATGGTGCATGCCTGTAATCCCAGCAGCTCCAGAGGATTGTAAATTTGAGGCCAGCCTTAGCAATTTAGCGAGGCCCTAACAATTTAGTGAGACCCTGACTCAGAATAAAAAATAAAAAGGGCTGGGGATGTGGTTGAGCCCTTTGGTGTTCAATCCCCGGTTTAAAAAAAAAAAAAAACTTAGTGTATTGAACCTGGAAGAAATTTTAGGTTATCATGCCCAACTAGGTCATAGAGTATATAAATAGACTGATGACAAGCAAAAATTAAACTGGTTAGGATCTAATAATTTAGGAGATGTTAAAACATTTGTAGTCCAAAAAATGGTTAATAGTAATTTCAAATGAATAAATATTATTTTGATGTAGAAGGGGCTGTACATTTCTAGAGAATTCTGGTTACTTAACATTTCAGGCTTTTGTTTGGGGTCTTGCTTTTTTTATTATTGTTTCAGTTGTAGATGGATAAAATATCTTTATTTTTATTTGTTTTTATTTGGTGCTGAGGATTGAACCCAGTACCTCACATATTAAAGAAAAGCACTCTACCACAGAGCCACAACCCCAGCCCTGGGTATTGCTTTCATCACTTTAAATGGATATATATATACACACACACACACACACACTTACTTTGGGGGATGAGTGAGTGTGGTACAAAAATCAATCTACTTTCTGTCAAGCTATTTTTAGAGTTATGGTATGCATAATTATATAGTAAATCATCAATTCTTTTTCAAAAAAATGTATGTATTTTTTAGTTGTAGATGGACAATACCTTTATTTTTATGTAGTGCTGAGGATTGAACCCAGTGCCATACACTTGCTAGGCAAGCACTCTCCCACTGAGCTATAATCCCAGCCTGGTTCTTTTTTTTTTTTTTTTTTAATATTTATTTCTTAGTTGTAGTTGGTCACAATACCTTTATTTTATTTATTTTTGTGTGGTGCTGAGGATTGAATCCAGGGCCTCATGTGCTAGGTGCTTTCTATTGCTGAGTCACAACCCCAGACCTCCCATCAATAATACCCAGGTAATACTTTGATACTTCAGTAATAACTGAGATGCTTTGAGTAAGATGTAGATTTCTTTACCTGGATTTATTAGGCAAATGGTATGCCTTAATTTTAATACCCAGTTGCCACGGTCAGAAAGTTTACATTTCTTTTCTAGAGAGGGATGTCATTTAAAAAAAAAAAAAAAAAAACAGTAAATTTGCTTTAAGGAAACATTAATATACAGATTTAAGAATAGTTTGTTTATTTAAATATACTTCCCCAGTTTGCCACTAAATAGTGAGTTTACTTGATGCAGTATGTGTTTCCATATCTACCTGAAAGGGGAAGTCAAATCATAATTTTTGCTTATATTTGAGCACTAAGTAGACCTTAGTGATTACTTTTTTCTCTGGCTTTTAAGTTAAGGTTCATGTCTATTGATGTATGATCTCAATGTTTTATGAAAAGTTTAGTAGTACTACAGAAATGGGAGATTGTTCTGTGACTCAGAAACTAATTTATGGAGCTGGGGGGCTGGGGATATAGCTTGGTTGGTAGATTGCTTGCCTAGCATGTATAAGGCCCTGGGTTCAATCCCCAGCACCATCTTTTTTTTTTTTTTGGTACTGGGGATTGAACTCAGGGCACTTCACCATTCAGGTACATCCCCAGCCCTTTCATTTCATTTTTTAAAAAATTTTATTTTATTTTTTTAATTTTGAGAAAGGGGTTTTTCTGAGTTCCTTAGGGCCTAACTAAATTGCTGAGGCTAGCCTTAAACTTGGGATCCTCCTGTCTCAGCCTCTGGAGTCACTGGGAATACAGGCAGTTGTTGGGATTACAGGCATGCTCCATTGGGCCCGGATGTACTGTAGTTTTTAAAATAACTCATTGAATGGAATCTCCCCATTTGAATATTGAAGGATTTTTGTTCCACATTACTTTTTAAGTTTGTGCTGTATTCCTTATTTTTTAGAGTGAGAATCTGTAGTAACTTGCAATCCTGGGAACTACATTTGAGTTTGTTTTTTAAGTTTTGAAACTCACTGATTAGGAAGAAGTACTGGCAAAATTCAGATCACACCTTTACCTTTAAGTAAGGGTAGCTACTGTACAAATTAAAGAATGGTGATTTAGTGGGGCTGGGGTTATGGCTCAGTAGTAAAACGCTTGCCCAGGCGCTAGGTTTGATCCTCAGCACCACATAAAAATAAATAAATGAAATGGAGATATTGTGTCCAACTATAACTAAAATAATAATAAAAATAAAAATTGGTGATTTATTTTAAATAACCCTTT